TGTGACCCTTGACCACAAAACCAGTCATAAGGGTCAATTTTTTGAAACCGAGTCTGGAAATCTGGAATCTGAGGGTCAATATTGAGAAAATCACCTTTAAAGTTGTCCAAATGAAGTTCTTAGCAATGCATATTTTTTCAGCATCATTACTCCAGTCTTCAGTGTTACATGATCCTTCAGAAATCATTCTAATATTCACTGCTCAAGAAACATTTCTGATAATATTTTTGTAAAAACCATAATGTAGATTTTTTTTTTTCAGTATTTGATGAATAGAAATCTTTTGTAACATTATAAATGTCTTTACTGACACTTCTGATATATTTAATGCTAAAGTATTAAAATCATTTGAAAAAAAAAATCAATCTAAAATATAAAAATCTAAACCCTAAGTGTTTGAACGGTAGTATAATTTCAGTTTAAATCAGTAAAAATACAGTAACAATTTTCAGTTAACAAAAACTAGACACCTAATCTACCACTGAACAGCAATATTGGTAAAAATAATTTCACCAAAATAATCTAACTGAATTGAACAAATGACCAAACGTCATGTCTCATAATCTATGTTTATAAGATTTTTCAACCCATTTAATTAAAACTCAGAAGTCCAATTGCTTAGAAAAGTAACAGAGCACCTATTCTCAACAAATCACTGGTATAATTCACGTTTGTAGCACACGTGCAGGATGAGTAACGTAGTTTTAATACGGATTTTGAGGGATTTGTTCAAATTCCTAATTCTAAGTGCGAGCGATATAGGGAGCGATGCTTGTCTTCTCAAGCAGCATTAATAAACAGGAGCTGTTGTCAGGTCAGGTGAGGACAAGGCCTTGCTGCTCTCACCATGTATTTGATGGCTGAGATGATCTGGGCAAAGAGGAGCTTGCTTTCCAGGTCTGACAGGCGCCCTCTGCCGGTGATGCGTGAGAACAGGTCTCCTCCGCTGCCGTACTCCATTGCGAGGTACAAATGCTTACTGGTCTCAAGCACCTCATACAGACGCACAATGTTCGGATGGGAGAGTTTTTCCATGCAGATGATCTCTGAGGCAAATAGATTCTGCGACTTCTTGTCGAGACGCGCCTTATTGAGGATCTTTACTGCAACACGCTCTGTGAGACAGAGAGAGGGAGGTGTGTTAAATCACAGTGAATTATATTTGGGGAAATCCATGTTATTCAAACGTAGCAGGGGATCTAGTGAAATATTCTAGTGGCCTTTTGTATCTTAAAATCTTAGTAAAGGTCTTTAAAAAAATATGTGGCAGAATGCTAGAGGCCTCCCTGCTGTGCTGCTTTCAAAAGGCATCTCAACCAACCCACCAAAAATATTAGAGCGATTCACAGAGGGGGTGCTGTAAATCTGATGGATTACATGAGCGGATCAACTCGGGGTCACTGACGTCTACAGACACAGTTTGACTGTGCCGCCTGCTGTCAGGAGCTGCTAACTGACAGATCACAGAAATCCAGACAGCGTAAAGCCGTGATGAAGTATCGACAGATCTTGCTTTTTTCATAGTGTGAAGTACATCTGAGTGTAATGGATTCTAGAAAACGATGAAATGTAAAACAGGGACTTGGTTCTAAGCATTGGTTGTTGACTGGATTTTGAAAATTCTTCTGCCAAAAATCGAGGCAGATGATTAAATTTAAGCTGACTGAATGATTGGAGAAAAAGGAAGGCTAAATTTAAAAGGATAGTTCATCCAAAAATGAACATTTGCTGAACATTTACTCACTCTCAGGCCATCCAATATGTAGATGAGTTTGTTTCTTTATCAAAACAGTTTTGGAGAAATGTAGCATTGCATCACTGTCTCAGCAATGGATGCTCTGCAGTGAATGGGTGCCGTCAGAATGAGAGTTCAAACAGCTGATAAAAACATCACAATAATCCACAAGTAATCCACACCACTCCAGTCCATCAGTTAATGTCTTGTGAAGCAAAAAGCTGCGTGTTTGTAAGAAACAAATCCATCATTAAAATGTTTTTAACTTCCAACTAAAATATGAGTCCTCTCTCCACAATATTGCTTTTTCCAGCTGTTTGGACTCTCATTCTGACGGCACCCATTCACTGCAGTGGATCCACTGGTGAGCAAGTGATGTAGTTACAATTTCTCATGAGATCAGGTTGGAATATTAATTTCATTCCAACTATAAAATATCTAGTTCAAACAAATACTATTTAATGTTATACAAAACAGATAAAAATCACTCAATAAAAATCTGATTTACACATTTACACATGGCCCCATGAAGTTTTTTCATTTGGACATTTTAAATGTTCTTAACATTAGAGATTCAAAATACAGATATCAGTATTATATAATTTATTTGCCAATATTGTCTGGTTTTTACATTCAGACACCATTTAGATTTTTTTTCTAATGCACGCTTAAAATGAAAAAAAAAAAAGTATAATTTCTCACTTTGACGGTCTCACCTTTAGTCAAAGCGTGAACGCCCAGTTTGACCTGGGAGAAATTTCCAGTCCCTATTTCTCCTCTGAGATCATAGAAAGCAATCCTGCGGCCCAGCATTATGTCACTGATGACCTGGTCATTGTGGGACATGTCATACAGGACCCTCTCGAAGGCCGTCTGCTTCGCTCGTTGTTCAGGCGTCAGTGCTGGAGCCTTGCGTGTTTCTGCTTCCTTCTGGGCAGGTTGGGCCGCCGGCTCATTCTTTCCTTTTTTCCCATGTCGCTTCGCCCAGACATTTAGTGTTTTGCTACCTTGGATGAGACAAATAAAAAAAGAAGACTGAAAATATCAGTCAAAATACTGAGGTTAATAAAAAAGTTGAATAAATGTCGTTTTATGGATCCTCTATGATAAGAGTTGTGAAGAGTGTTTTAGGGTCAACTGAGTTCATTTTTAACCTTTAACCTTTCGTGCCGTTTCGTATTTCAAAGACAATAGTTAAACTCAATTGAGCATATTTTTCAAGTACATGTTTATAAAGAATAAATAATGAGACAATTAATTACTGCAACTAATAGGAGGTTTTGCATGATATTAAAGGGGTCATATGATGTTGCTAAAAAGAACATTATTTTGTGTATTTGGTGTAATGAAATGTGTTACTCTGGTACTGGCCTCGATGTTCGATTTTCCAGACTATTACAAGCAGATTTCCTACTTCAGTGTCATGATCCCTGTTGACCCTATCTTTGAAAGGTTAAGCTCCTGTAAACCTTTCCTTCATCGTGGAAGGTCAGTGAGAGAAAGTGTCCCAGTCTGCGGAGACTGACACGGCTATTGCTTCACATTTACATTTACCAAACATACGTCAGGACCTAATGATTTTTATTTGTCATTTATTTTAAATATAAACAGTTACGGCATATTCATTTCTTTACAAAACTGCCATTTTAATTTAGAAATAATTTTTTTTTTTTTTTTTTTTTTTAAATCTGCCTTTAAATCAAAGATTACATGTTATCTTTAGGAGCTAGTATTTTTATTTAACCCATAAAAATGAATTTTTATTTTATAAATTTTTAATAAGATAATGTATTTAGGTTGATTCTATTAAAATATTTGTTTACTTGAATAAAGCTAGTTCATTTAAATGCAATCCTTTTTTTTTTTTTTTTTACCAAAATCAAGTCACTGTACACATAATTTTTTGAGAGAAGTTAAAAATCAAATTCAACTTGATGCGTTCAGGATTTTAAGTTCTCTCAACTATTGTCTTAATAATTGTACTGAGTAACACTATCAGTTTGAATTTGTTTGTTCAGTAAATGCACAATGCCTCATTCAGTCAACAAATTCATCAAGACAGCAACAGATTTCTTGTTCAGCAAATTTTCATGAAGTAACACAGTAAATTAATGTATTGTTTTGACAGCTGTATATATACTGTTAGTTTTAAGCGAACTATATCTTTCATTAAGGAACAGTAACAAAAACAGTAACAATCAACAATGGTCAAAAATGAGCTCTTACAACAAATAACTAACTATATAATGACAAAATAACAGCAAAGGTTAAAATGAAGTTAGCACACAGCAAAACAATAATCCTATAACCGCATAATTTATTCATGCTGCAATGCATGCTGGGAACTTACAAACCCTTAACATTTCAAAAATATGAAATTCTTTGTTTGGACAACTGTGTATAACAAGTTGGGGGAAAATTTGGGGAATTACATCGGACTCTGGCATGGGTTTTGTTGCTACTTAATTTTTTTTACAATGAAGTTCTTGCAACCACAGCTGCCATTGTTTTACCATAAATTTCACAGATTCTTTTCATTAAAGAACTACCCCTAAATGTAAGACTTGCATGACACCAGCATATTGAAATTACATGTTAAACATGTATATGTTAAACATGTATATCATGTATACCCTGAATATCACATTCGTCGCAGAGATGTTCTTGTATAATCCTAATCCAGACTGCATGTCCTTTCTATTTAAGTTCAAATGTCCAGTATGTCTGCACTGGAGGCAAGATCAGGCTTGTAAATCTGAATAGGAAAGTCTTTAAGAAGGGTGGATTAGGAGCCTCTTTAAGACCATGCATCACAGGTTGCAGACTCGACACCCTTCTAAAAATACACAGGATATCCACTGAACTACTTACAATATCAGAAACATCGATGCTGCAAGAAAAAAACAAATAGTTGGGAATGCATAGGACTTTGCTTAATGACACGGTTTTCATTAATTACTTTTGATACAATGTTTTGCACAGTATTGACAAAAAATCTAAATAAGTGTCCTAGATATCATGTTTGAACTCTAGAAAATGACAAAATGTCCTTAATGTATCTATTGGACACACATTTGTACTCTGAAACCCTTCATATTTAAAAAAAACAACGGTGTTTAAGAGCAAGCATTAAGTGTTGAAATTAAAAATAAAAAATTTAAAACAACATTCAAGATAATTTCTTATGCATACTGTAATTAATATGCAGTTAATAGAGGATCACATTCATTTGTCTTGTAAGAAAAATATATTTAGAATTCTCTTTTGATATGTTATTCATAATCTATACATAACCACTGCACAAAAAAACAAGTCTAATAAAACATAGCCCTACAAGATGGTGCATTTCAAAAGAATGTCAAAACTCTCCCTATACTCTATTCCATGAAGAAATATACTTTACCTGGTAGCTGTGGATCCTTCATGCTGGTGTCTGTATGAATGGACGTAGAGAACAGCAGGACAACCTCTCACTCTGCAGTCTTCAATCCTCCAGCGATCACCAGCGCTCAATCCAATTAGATGGACGTAATAATATCCATTGTAGTGCTGTCAAACGATTAATCGCATCCAAAATAAACGTTTTTGTTTACATAATATATGTACTCTGTATATTTATTATGTATATCTAAAGACACACACATACAGCATATATTTTGAAAATATTTACATGTACATATTTACATTCATATTAATTATATCATATATAAATATATTTAATATATAAAAGTAACATTTTTATTAAATATATACATGCGTGTGTATTTACAGTATATATACATAATAAATATACACAGCACACACACATATATTATGTATAATGTCAAATCACACATCGTTAAAACAACAATTACGATATTATCGCGGACGATATATATCGCACACCCCTAGTCAGGCTGTCACATTTTAATTGAAGTCATACAGTATGTGTATTATATGTTGAATTACACTTTACTAATTACAATTTCTGTTGGCCAAAACAATTTTTTTTCTGTATTTACCTCATTTATAATTTCATGAAATTATTTTACTGTTGTTTTACCGTTTAGAAATTAGATAAAAAGCCCATAATAAACTGAAAAAAGTATAATGGCAGGTTCCCATTTTGTGGCAGCTCACATTTATATATATATATATACTCCAGAACTGTCTTTTTGCTAACCCTTGAATTCTACATATTCTTCAAAAACTTGTTCTCAATGTCCTTTTCATATTTCTTGGTCATACGATGGTGGAAAAATGTGTATCACTGCCCCAAGAATGCATAAAGCAGGTCAAATTGAAGGAAAGAAAGGGGACAAATAAACATGTTTGATATATTAAAACGTGTGTGTATCACCAATTATTTTCATTTGTACATTAAAAGGAATAATTCACCTTAAATAAATAAATGCATAAAAATTCTCTCATGATTTAACCACCCTCAAGTTGTTCCAAACCTGTATGAATTTCTTTCTTCTGCTGAACACAAAAGAAGGTAACCAAACAGTTTGTGGTCCCAATTCATTTATGTATTTTTCCATACTATGGAAGTCAATGGAAATCTTTTTTTTTTTTTAAACATTAATTCCAATATGGGTCATTTTTACCACTTCATGCATTCACTTATGAAAAAATAAACCTACCAAAAGAAACCTTCACTGGAATAAAAAAGTGTGACAACTAGCCCATTTACCAAACTGAATAGTTACCATATACATCAAAAACGAATTATTCAAAGAATACCACAGTATTCAATGGTACCATGATACTATGTGATGACAACAAAGCAATGAAAATGAATTCTGGGGTATAATGAGGCATGCGATTTTTGGTGTGGTATGGAATGGTTTTAGATTTAAAATAGGCCTTAAGCATTACACCGTTTATTTACTCCAACATTTACTTTTCCCCCCTTATCAAATCTGTCTTTTCTTCTATGTATCCATAATCTTAAGTAGCCTATTATTGGATGTAGTGGAGTTTTTACAGAATGTACTTCCTCTGTTGTTTTCACTAACCAGTTTCTCTGAACTGAGGAAACATGTAATCTGTAATCAATTAAAAATCAACCTTCCTTGAAGTGTTTAATTTGGACGTTGAAAAGCTTTTGATTGAGAGAACAGGAAGAGTGGGAAGGCGTCATGGCGAAGGAAAGACGCCGTGGCGGGTTTGGCGACGACTGTGGTGTGAATGAAGAGAATGACGGAAGTAGCATAGAAGAAGAATTTAATTTGTCAACGGCGCTGTTTAATAGACTTTACCTGGCCTTTACACAATGGAATGAGTTGACCCGCGAACATGACGTGGCGCTGTGACGTCGGTTCCGCCGTCCGCCTCGAGCTTGTGTTTACAGTCAGATTTGGCGGGAGAAGATTAGACGCTCCGCTTTCGGTTTGGAACGCGTTCTATTGCGAGCCGCTTCCGTCAATGGCGGCGACTGCGTCTGCAGCTCCCGCGGAGTCTGAGTTGGACCGCAGCGGAGCAGAGGACGAGCCCCGAAGTGCCGAGCCGGAGGAGGACGGAGGAAACGGGCAAGCTGGGCCCATCGCAGCCGCGCAGCAGCACCGTCTCGCCAAGCTACCGCTGTCGCGCATCAAAGCTCTGATGAAAGCCGATCCGGATGTGAGTCTGGCCAGTCAAGAGTCTGTGTTCATCATAGCTAAAGCCACGGTGAGATACACACACAAACACGTGCTGGATTCATCGCTCTCCCCTCCCTTCTTCTGTCTCTCATGTCTATTCCGTCTCATTTCTGTCATGCCAATTTCTGTTCTGCCTGTCTTTAATTATTTATCTATCTATCTGTCATGTCAATTTCTTCTCTCTCTAAGTTCTGCCTGTCTCTTTGTATGTCAGATAACTTGCATCAATTTATTATTTGTATTTTTAATATTTTCTATAAATAATATTGATATATTTTCATTAAATAGTAAGTTTTGTTTATATTTGTTCTAAATTTGCCACATTTTCTCTCTTAAAAAATATATATTTAGATTATTTACAAAAAAAAAAGAACCAAAAGCTGGAAATTAAAGGATTAGTTCACTTCCAGAATATACATTTCCTGATGATTTACTCACCCCCCCCATGTCACCCAAGATGTACATGTCTTTCTTTCCTCAGTCGCAAAGAAATTAAGGTTTTTGAGGAAACCATTCCAGGATTTTTCTCTTGTGGGCTTCAATGGCGGCCGATGGGTTGAAGGTCCAAATTGAAGTTTCTGTGCAGCTTCAAAGGGCTCTACACAATCCCAGCCGAGGAATAAGGTTCTAATCTAGTGAAATCTAGATTAAAAAAAAAAAAAGTATACTTTTTAACCACAAACTGAAGAAAGAAAAACATGAACATCTTTAATGACATGGGGGTGATTATCAGGACATTTTTACTCTGTAAGTGAACTCTGAAGTGAACAGGCAAAATATTACTCCATGAATTTATAAATACTTGTTTAATGGTTTGTTGTAGGCATGGGCCGATTACCGGTTTCAAGGTATACCGCGATTTGAAAATGTCACGGTTTCAAAACCACTAATATTTCCGTTATACCGTTCCTGCGGTATGCAGTTTTTCATGTCTCCTCAAAGACTGAAAGTGTAGGAATCCCTCAGGTTGAGTGCAGTGTAGAGAGTAACATGACCCTCCTCCTCCTGTTGGTGCGCGCGAGCGGTCAGTCACGTGTGTGTAGGACGGTCGAACTTAAGGAGCTTCCCCTGGAGCTTACACAATCGGCAACCGGCCGTTTTTTGTCTTATTGCAGCTCGTCTCTGTTCTGGACTTGCACAAACTGTGTTGTGATGCAATCATTTTCTAAAATGTCATTTATGTGAAAATATGAAGTCTGTAAACTCCCGTTAACACAGGCCAGAGACGCTGAAGACAGACGCACAGAGCAAAATACTGTAGCAGGCAGATCACTCACTGTTCATGATGCACGAACTATTGGAAGAAAATCCTCAATATTGATTTGGGGGTTTATATGAATGTGTTTCTGAGGGGAACTGACTGTCTTCAGAAAAGTTTACGTGGTATTTTCTTTTCATCTCGTGTCTGTATAGTTCATATTAAAGCAGTGTTTCAGCGCAGCGCAGCTTTGTTTACAGCGGTAACCAAGGAAACGCTGTATCTGGTGTTCCATGAGCGCCTCCTGCTGTCAGAGAGAGAATCTGCGTCTCATTCAGAGCTCCTGCTGTTTGCTTCGTTCAGGCATGTAGTATAATTTCACAAAGCTAGTCAGAACAGAACATTCTGTTTTTGCTTCAAATTGGGTTATTATTAAATCAAATTATGTATATGAAATTATATAACTAAATGATATAAATGATATGTATATGAATAACTAAAATTAAATAACTGAAATTACAGATTTAGGTTAAATAAAGATTTTTCTTCTTTTTAGTTAACAAATCAAATAAAAAATAAACATTCTACTGCTCCTAATATTCTGTATGTTGCTCAAAAACTAAATATATTGTGTTCAGCGGAATTTAAAAAAAAAAAAAAAAAATTTTACTTTTTTTTATTAATGTAATTTTTTGCAATTTCAACAAAACCATTTGTATGTTAGCCAGCTAAATTACATGATCTTGATGACAAACCAGCAGAATTTGCAACAGCAATACAGAATCAATTACAGAAATGTTTTTAGGGCATAAAAATGGATGTACGAGATCAATGAAGGTCTTTCTCTCTGTTTGCCTGTCATTTCGGTTTTAGTTCTGTCTGCCACTGTCATATCTGTCTGCCTATCTATCTGTGGTTTTGTTTGTCTGAGTTTCTGATTGTACAATTTATTTTCAGGGTCACATTTAAAGGGGTCATATGATGCGATTTCATTTTTTCCTTTCCATATGACCCCTTTAAACAATATCCCATGAGCAAACGTAATATTACTAAATATTAATAACCAATCAATCACTGACACCAATGACATGCTCATTAACAGCCAATTGTCTGTAATTGTTAAAATTCAGATTAAGTTCTCACAGTGCCATAAAAATTTTGACTGCTCCTATGACACAAATATTATGTACATAATATCAGAGAGAAGGAGATGATTTGTTAAAAACATTTTAATACTACCGTCTAGGCTTGTCACGTTCATGGATACAGTGCTTGTCTGTCTGGATATTCTAAATTTCAGTTCCAACTAGGGCAGATTTATTGATATATAAACTTTGATGGGGCCGTCAGGGCCAAGGACAAAATTTATGGATGGCCCCACCTATACACTCGGGTGGGTAAAGACGAATATATCTCAGTTAACAAAATGGTACTAATTATTGTTCTGCCCGCAGGAGCTTTTTGTTGAAATGATTGCCAAGGACGCTCTTGTTTATGCACAACAGGGAAAGAGAAAAACCCTTCAACGTAAAGACTTGGGTAAGTTATACGGTAAATTCTAAAATGGTTTAAATAGAATTTTAACTAAAAACATCAGTGGTATTGATGCTGTAATGATTGGTGCTTTTTCTCTTTTGGCAGACAATGCTATTGAAGCAATAGATGAGTTTGCATTTTTGGAAGGTAAG